TTTGAAAGCAATAATCTGCATGATTGAGATCCAACATATAGTTAGGAGTTAAATACTCTGTGCAATTATTGGCCGGGACACCAGAGGAAAATCCCCTTTCTTTTCTATTTGCTTCACTGTTGCATCTGAATGTTTACCAGGCAAAACTATCGTGGCGTGGGAAGAGATGCCAGATCAATGGTACTTGGAATACAACCCAGGCGCTATTTACAGGCCACCTTCATTTGCTGGTCACTTTCAGCAGACTTACTGCCTTTCCATGTCTATATATAGCTTGTCCAGCTATGGGCGCGGCAACAGTCAATTCTAATTAAAGCTCTGGTACTCTACACTGTCCCATCCTCCACTCTCAGGTCAGCTTCAGCGTGGGTATATGCACAGTAAAGCTACCTCTACACTCCACCCACACTCCCAGGTCAGCTACAACACAGTTTAGAGACACAGTAAAGCTCCCTCTACACTGTGCGTCCGTCCACACTCCCAGGTTAGCTACAGACAGCATGGTTTAGACACAGAGTAAAGCTCCCTCTACACTGTCCGTCCACACGTACAGGTCAGCTACAGTATGGGTTAGAGAGACAGAGAGAGTGTAAAGCTCCCTTTACACTGTCTGTCCAGCACTCTCAGATCAGTGACCATATAGGTTAGAGACAGTCTACATTGTGAAGCTCAGGGTGTCTTGCTCTTGTACAGCACCAACTTATGCCTAATGACAACTGCACAAACTCTCAGAGCAAACCTGATTACACAGCGGCTGCCACCCCGACTGATGTTGAATTCAATCTAGATTCCTCCAGTCTATACATCTCTCTTCCTTCAATAGTCTCCCAGCCCAATTCTAGACTGGAACACGACAAAGCACTGCTTCCTTCCAAGGTGAAAGAAGAGTGGCGACCAAAAGGAAGGAAGGAAACTGGTAAAGAAAGAGTAAAGAAAACAAATTTGCTCACAGGGTGTGTAACGAGATGACTAACGCTGAGACCGTTCCTGCCAGAGATTGATTGGATTCATTTAGTTATCTCCTCCACTTTCTGTTGAGGCACGTTACTTCGAAACACTTTGCTGTAGTGCTAATATGTACCAGAAACCCTAACCTCTCTGCACCACCTCCATTACTTATTCTTGGAAGCCACACTGAGTAAATTTCACCTCTCTCCTCTCTCTCTACTGAAGATTCAAACTCCACTTAGCTCTAACCTAGGAGAAACATTTTGTCTTAAAAGTCCCAAGATCTCAAAGCGTTTCACAGAATTTACTGGAAAGTGGATCTTGCAGAATTGTGGATAACTCTCAAAGCCAGCATCGGTTTGGAAGCAAACTTTTTTTTTAAACCAACTGCAGCAATAGCTTCCAAATTAAGATTTACGCTTTTCCATAATTCTGCTCCATCTCAAATTAAGACAAAATGTTCTTGCTATACTGGATAGTGAGAAATAAGGATATTTAGGGGTCAATTCACTTTGCAGTCGATTCTGTGAAGCGCTTTGAGACATCACAAAGACGTGATAAGGCGCTGTATCAAATGCAAGGAGTATTATTATTAATTGGCCAGTTTCTAATGAACTGTCAGAAGAGGCTAAATGGGCTGAATGGCTTTTGCTGTAGCCATCCATGATCTCAAGGACTAAATTGGTGAGTGGACGTTGTTGCTATTAGCTTTACTTTTTTTTAAAAAATCAGGATTGAAATAAAAAATAATGAAGGAGAAGGATCAGCTGGGAATGGGAGCGAGGGATAGGATTAGGAGGGGGTGAAGTGCAAACACCGGAGTGGCCTGATTCCGTGCTGTAATGTGTACGTCACTCTACGTAAAACAAACAAGTTTAAATGGAGTTAGAAACAATGAACAAATGAGGGGAGGGAGGGAGGGGTGAGGGAGAGGGATGGGGGGGAGGCAGCTACAAGGACATTGTTGAAGAAGGGCAAAGGGAGGGCAGTTATTTTGGAGTTCAGGTCACTAAGTTGCCTTAGACAGCGTTGAAGAGGCAACGTCAACATGGCAGCTCGAGGGTTAACTGGAGGAAGCCTGCCTGAGGATACCTCACGCTGATTCCCAAACTCTCGTTGTTCAAGAGAGATGGTTTCTCCCTCAGGAATGCAAGCGAAACAAGCTCATACAGAACGCCCCCTCTCCCTGTTATTCCATTCACTTCCTCCTCCAGCTCCCCGACTCTCACCTTAATCCGCTGCAGGCATCAAAGCATTCCACAAGGTATTTTCAGCCAGGTCCATTCCAGAGAGTGGAAGGAAGGCATGTGGGTTTGCCTGCCTGCAGCATGCTCCAACACGAAGCAGCCACGCACTTTGGCAAAGCCTTTTGCCGTTCGACTCGGGCAGATTTTAGGTAATGTTTAACTCGGCCCCTCGAGGTGAACAACCACAGAGCGGCTTCACAGACAGATTAAAAGCCCTCGCTCCCGTTTATCACGCAGAAGGTTGCTCGCGCGAGCCCGTCGTGTCTGAGCGACCACCCGGAGACCGAAAAACTGGTTCCGGACACCATCCAACTGGGCTTTCAAAGGCGATACATTTCATCAAATAAGGTGGATATTAGAATGTAAGACGAAATGGGTCTAAATCAGAGCTGTTAGCTTGTGGAGTTAATGTAGCTCAGGGGTTAGAGCCCTCGCCTCGCAAGTGAGAGGACCCTGGTTCGATTCCCGGGCAGGGGACGAAACATTAGGCAAGTTTCCTTACCCCTCACCCTCCCCCCACATACGCGCGCGCCTGTTTACCCGGCAGTGAGTAGGAACCCGGTTGTTAGTCGATTGGCGGATTGCTTTTCCGGGGATAATTAATTATCAAAAAAAAACACAATAATAATTTGGTCACTCAATCCATGGCTGTTTGTGGGACGCTGCTGTGCATAATTGGCTGCTGCGTTTCGCCCACAAAATATACAGTCAATTCGCTTTACGGTGTATCCCGCGAAGCGCTTTGGGACGTCTTGAAGACGTGATGAGGCACTGGATCAAATGCAAGAATTATTTCTTTGATTTTGTTTAGATCTGGTGTGAAACCCTGTGGCACCTGTTCAGACCCGAGCGTTGTCGCCTTACACAATAGCAGTCACTGAGTTGGACCTTGGCCTTTTTTTTGGTAACTAGGCCATGTTTTCCTGTCGTTATAGCGTTTTAGAACTTGCGCTGTGCAGCCAGGACTCAATCAGTGGCGGATGAGCCACTGAACACATCTCTTACCCCTATTTAAAATAGGAGCTGTCACCAACTCATGAAGTGCAGCAACTATCCAGAGCGGTTTTGTTTTGCTGCAGCGGTGGACATAGCAAGAGAAATGATGAGCCACCTTTCTGTCGGTTACGGAGGAGTGCAACAGACACGGTGGAGCAGCAGATCAGTACTGAGCGAGCACGACAGTACGTGGAAAATGAAAGCAGAGGCATTCCCCATTTGCAGTGTAACCGCCCATCGCTCCCCCACCGCCCCTCAGTGCTGCACGGACTTGAGAGACTCGCCACACCCAGGGACTAACAACTCTCAGCCCCACAGCTCAGTAACAGGCTCATTATTCAGTGTATCGTGTGTCAGTGCCCAACCCCCACACACTATGGGATCAGTCTCCTATGGCTTCCTGGCAGCATTACCAGTTACCAGAATCATCTCCATGTCTCCGTCTATATTTAATAAGACAAAATATTTGGGAGTGTGGGTGACTGTTACCATACGTCAGAGGTGATTTGGACAGTGGCCACAACCACAACAAGTATTTAAACAGAGCTTTTCATGTGCAGTAATATCTTGGACGGCCTCACAGAGAGATTGCTAGATTCTAGCCAGCATAGGGGCACTGGGAGCGAAGTAACTGTAACCAGGGTAGGTTTTCAAGAGGCTTTTAAAGATGGAGGCAGAGTTGACGAGGTGGAGGGATCTGGGGAGGGCATTCTAGAGGTTCAGGGCATAGTGACTGAAGGCTTGGCCACCAATAATGGCCAGAGGGTTAAGGACTTGACTCGGGCTGAGGTTGCTGAGCAGAGGGAGCAGGCTGGAGAGCGAGGCTGGAGGGGACAAGTACAGGTGAGGGCATGTGGACAAGTGAGGATCTTAAAATGGCACTGTCAAATCAAGAAGAAAGGCTGCTTAAGTAAAGGGCAGTCTACTTTGCAGACAAATGCAACAGCCAATTTGCGAACAGCAGTGTCCCACAGACAGTTATTAAGTCGATGACTGTGGCAAACATGGCAGTCAATTGCGGACAGCAGTTTCCCACAAACAGTCGTGGATTGAGTTTTTTTTAAGGGATTATTACCCCCCCCCACCCCACCGGAAAGCAATCCCCCAATCGACAAATAACCGGGTTCCTACTTACCGCTGGGTAAACTGAGGCGTGTGGAAACTTGCCTAAGGTTTTGCCCTGACCCGGGAATTGAACCCAGGTCCTCTCACTTGCGAGGCGATAAGAAACAGCCTCTCTCCGTTTCTGGTCGTACGAGGGACAGAAACAGCAATTTAGAACCTGTCAAATGCAAAGCATCTCTGGCAGGTTCATCACCGCACATTCACTACAGTCGGACACTGGCACAATTTCAATATGTTACAACAGAAGCACGAAACCTCCCTAACAATGATCATTATTATTATTGGATCAATGGCAAGCCATGTGGTTGGTTTGAGCTGGTTAAGCTCCAGCAGTTACCCACCAAACGCACACTCTGGGGCTCCCCCCAAACCTCGGCTCTTGCCAACCTGTGCCTAATACTCTGCGGAATTAGGTAAGCAGGGGGCGTCCCTCCAGGGAGAGGGAGAGAAGAGAGAGATAGAAAGAGAATGCACAATCTATCTCTGGGGTTTCCACGTGTAGGTGAGATGTATGGAATTATGAGTTCGGTTGGGAGACTCTTAAGTGACGTGTCAGACACTTGGCTGAGCAGAAAAAATATAATTGAAATGAATTAATGAGAGTGGAGACTAAATATAAAGTCAGCAATTTCCCCCCCACTCCATCACCCCCCCCCCCATTCCCCCAACAAGCCAGACACTTACTTGCATTCCCCAGGGACCTCACAGCTCCCGTGGATTGAATGGCAGCCTTGCTTACAAATAGCTGGGGGGGAAAACAAGAGAAAAGTGTTTGAAATGTCACACTGAAAAGCATCACAGACAGATTTTGTGTGTCACAAGGTATCACCGACATTGACAAAGATAATCATAGCAACAGCACAGCACAGCCTGCCAATACGCTCCCCTCTCCCCCCGGGACTGCAGCTCAGATCAAGCCCCAGCAGATGGGAATTGAAAGAAAGATGGCAGTGATGGCTGAGTAATGAATAATTCAGCTTCCGCCCTCCTCACACCACAGGCAGGCAGTGCCGTGCGTGTCCAGGTGTGGTACACACAACATACAGCGCAGGTTACACAGAGCTGTGCTGCAGCAGTTTACATTCAGGTGTCCTATAGCACTAGTTACACACAACCCTATCAGCGGCTTGGGATGTCCTCCCGACGTGAAGGGCGCAATACAAATGTAAATTGTTGTCGTTGTGTGGTACGGGTGACACTATCCTTCCAGGTGTGGTACAGAACAGTTTACGTATAATAATAATAATAATAATAATAATAATAATCCTTGCATTTGATATAGCGCTTTTCACGTCGGGAGGACGTCCCAAAGCGCTTCACAGAACATACTGCAAAGTGAATTGACTGTATATTTGTGGGCGAACGCGGCAGCCAATTGCGCACAGCAATGTCCCACAAACAGTCGTAGATTGAAAATGACCAATTAATTATTGTTTTTGGTTTTTGAAGGGATTATTATTAGGCGTGTGGAGTAAGGAAACTTGCCCAAGGTTTCGCCCTGCCTGGAATTGAACTCAGGTCTCTCACTTGCAAAGCGAGTGCTCTAACCACTGAGCTACAGGGCTCCGTGGTTAGAGCACGTATCAAGAGAATGGAGCTCCTTTGGTCCCAAAGTCGACCTTGGGATCCTTCCGATGTGAGAGGCGCGAGATATACGAATGTAACTTTGTTGTGGTGCTGGTTGATAGGGAGAGGTGAGGGGGGGTGGGGTGGGGTAGGGTGGGGGGTGCAGAAGGACCTCTCCCATCTTGTACCAGATTGACTGCTGCCCCAACTGAGATCAGCCGGCCAAACCTGGAGCTAACGAGCCAGCCGGTCATTCAGCTTCTCTCCCAGCCACCAGGGGCACGGCTTAACTAACAGTCACTTGTCCAAGCTCTCCAGTCACTGCTCGTAGACAACACAACACACAATGTCAGTTTGGAGGACTGGGAGGGAGCTTTTCCCACCCTTCCACCTCTCTCTATTTACCTTGCCTGCAGTCGTTCCCCATCCACCCGTCCACACAGATCTTGTTCCCATTCTGGTCGCAAACGTAATGGCCGAAGAAGTCATCTCGCGGCCGGCACAGCTTGTTGCAGCCGGTGCCGTAGTAGTGGTCGTCGCACTTGACTCGGATCTGGTACTCGATGTGAGCCACGGGGCCGTTGTGCTGCAGCGTCTGCCAGCGGCTCCCGGGGTTGATCATGCCCGTGTGGGCGGCACGTTCTATCAGCTGATCACCTGCGAGGCAGAAACGTCAACGTCACTTAAGGTTATTCACCTGAAACCATCTTTACCGGTCTCCAGATTAACAGCAAACCGGGTGGGGACGAAGGCAACCCTACCCACGCTAGTCATGTCTCATCGCAGCTGGTCTTAAATGATTCCAGTGTCCTGGCCTCAACCACCCTTCCTGATAATTCTTTCCAGTTGTCAATTACCCGCTGTGTAAAGAAATACTTCCTGGTGTCTGTCCTTTCATGGCAGGATCACCTCTTGTCCTACTGCAATGACATATACTCCTATGCGATGCGGGTAAAAGATAGAGTGGGATTCAGATCCCGGGTAGACAGAGATGAATGGTGTTGCCACCTTCCTTTTTTTATAAATGTTCCCATTTTCCTGTTGATAATAATAGATAATAATAGATACCTGGAAGGGGATTACAGGCTGGAAGCTAATGGAGGTCAGCAGTACACTATGCACTGCATGTTGAATAATTAACACTCATATGAATTTCTAGGTTATCCAGACTTCAATGCCTCTCAGTGGAATGACGGGATTCATTTTGTTCCATTTTGTGGGTTTTCTTGCACTGTCGCCCCCCCCCCCCACCCCCAGAGAAAATTAATGGGCAAGAAAAATCCAGGGTTTAATTCAACAATTTCTTCTTTCCTCCATCCAGGAGAGAATAATAATAATCCTTGCATTCGATACATCGCCTTATCACGTCTTTGAGACGCTTCACAGGATATACGGTAAAGTGAATTGACTGTATGTTTTCTGGGCAAAACGCGGCAGCCAATTGCGCACAGCAGCGTCCCCGCAAACAGCCGTGGATTGAGTGACCGCATTTATTTTTGGAGGGAGCGATCCGCCAATCGACTAACAACCAGGTTCCTACTTACTCCTGGGTAAACAGAGGCGTGTGGAGTAAGGAAAAGTGCCTAACATTTCACCCTGCCCTGGGATCGAGTCCAGGTCCTCTCACTTTGTGAGGCGAGCGCTCTAACAACTAAGCCACAGGAATCCACAAAATAGAGAAAACACGAAGAAATGGAAGTCATTTATTTTGTCCAGGCAAGCGGCCAAACCCAGCACAAATCAGCCCTCCAGACAAATTACACAATGCTGAACAGTTTGTGCCGAAATTCAATTGCAATGAGTCTTCGCATCCCCACTCTTTGCGTCCCTTCTTCCCAGACAAGCAGGCTTGGTGCGAAACCGATGGCAGAACAATAGACGCGTGTTACGAGATCCCAAGCCACAATTTCCGCCTCCATCAGTAGCCAACACAAGAGGTTTCTGTCAGCTTGACTCAGTTGATAAAACCCTCGCCTCAGGGGCAGAAGGTTGAGACATTTTCGTGTGGTGAAAGGCGCAATGTAAATATAGATGGTTGTTTTGAGGCCAAGCTACTCGTTAGGTCGTTGAGCTCACAGTCAAGGCTGATACTCCACTGCAGTGGGGGTGGGGGGGGACCATGGTTTGTCAAAGGTGCCGTCCTTCAGACACACGACTAAACCAAGGCCCCGTCTACTTGGTCAGGTGGACGTTAAAGTCCCATGGTACTATACGAAAAGAGAAGGGAGTTTCCCTTGGTGTCCTTGCCAAAACACCCCCCACCCACCCACCCACCACCACCCTCCCCCCCCCCGAATAAAGCTAGCCACTTACTTCATGGCTGTTTGTGAAATATTACCGTTTATAAATTGGCTGACGCATTCAGCTACAAAACAGTTACTACACTTTACAGTAAATTCTATGAAGTGCTTTAACATATCCTGACACGAAAGGTGCTATATCAAATGAAATGATTCATCGTTATTAAATTGGCTGATGCCTTTGCCTACAAAAAACAATCACTACACCTGGTAGTAATTAGTGTCAAACATTAGACTCTAAAGTAACAATATTAAATGGAAGAATTATTTATTGTGGAGTCCTGTAGCTCAGTGGTTAGAACGCTTCCTCGCGAGCGAGAGACCTGGGTTCAATTCCTGGGGCAGGGCAAAACGTTGGGTAAGTTTCCTTACTCCACGCGCCTCTGTTTACCTGCAGTGAGTAGGAATATGGTTGTTAGTCGATTGGCGGATTGATTTTCCGGGGGTGAAAATCACTTTTAAAAAAAATTGGTCATTCAATCCATGACGGTTTGAGTGACCAAATATACAGTCAATTCACTTCCCAGTGTAATCTGTGAAGCACTTTGAGACTCGAGGACATGATAAGGCGCTGTATCAAATGCAAGGATTACTATTATATAATAAGACGTGCTCGTGATAGCCCCAAAGCACAGTTGAGCAAAGGCAGGCACTGCGACTTGGATTGTGCCAATGGGGACGTGAGTGCCCTTGGGGCTCAGCAACAAAGGATCAATGTCTGAGCAAGTTCTTGCCGTTCTTTCTGACAGACGTGTATTTGCCTGCACCCAGCAACATGCGGCATCAACTCACAGAAACAAAAGGAATTTAGGGGGTTTGTCACGCCAACAGCAACACATTCTTCGTTGAGAAAGGTGTGTTCCGCTGCCTACCAGAGCTTGCACACAGTGAATTCAACGGTCGGCATCGGGAGGGGACTTAAACTACGCAAAGTAAGGCAGATGCTCCTCTCATTCCAGAAATTGCAAATCCTGCCTTTCTGAGGTGGGCAGCTGCGATATCAAAATGACTAACACCTGAGCAATTTAAGGCATCCGGTTTCTCCCAATTCACTTACAAGGGAGGGTTTTAGGGATTAGTAGGACAGGACATTTACTTGAAGTAACTAACCCCAAAAAAATCCTTTTTACATAATGCCTTAAGCTTGCGTTCCTATGCCACCTTACCCCGCAGATGTCACTCAAACCGCTTTAGAGGTAATGTCGGCCGTGTTTGGTGGCTTTTTGCAGATCGGTGCTGCCAGCCGTTTTACACGCAGCCAACGTCCCCCCACACAGCCATAAGGGGTATGGACAATTACTGCCGAGAGCCAATTGATTGGAAATGATTTAAAATACAAATTGCCCACGGTGCTAACTAAAAGATTGTTCCTTTAGGAATTACACTACCACTGTAGTATCACACTATGCCAGGGACTCTCTTTATCTTCATCTCTTTTATCTCTCCCTCTATATCTTTTTACTCTCTGGCTGTTAGATGTAGCCAGAATCACAGCCTGGCAAACAACTCTACGTTCACACAAGAAGATGTTTGTTTTCTTTCATGCCTCGCATCCAGCTTTGGATGCCTACGCGGATAAACAGACTTGTGAATAACAACAACAAAATTACACTTGTGCAGAAAATAACAGCAATAATCCTTGTATTTGATATAGACGTCTCAAAGCGCTTCACAGAATATACTGTAAAGCGAATTTACTGCATATTTGTGGGCGAAACGTGACAGCCAATTGCGCACAGCAGCGTCCCACAAACAGGGGTGGATTGAGTGACCAAACTATCATTGGTTTTTTTTATAGATTATTATCACTGGAAAAGCGATCCGTCAATCGACTAACAACCGGGTTCCTACTTACTGCTGGTAAACAGAGGTGTGTGGAGTAAGGAAACTTGCTCAACATTTCGCCTCCTGCCCGGGAATCGAACTCAGACCTCTCGCTCGCGAGGCAAGTGCTCTAACCACTGAGATACAGGACTCCTAGAGATGTACAGCATTGTGTCGCTCTGTAATCTGGAGGATAGTTGGGTTAGGAGAAGGTCCCTCTCTTTCCACATAGTTTCATGACATCTTTAACATTCACCTGAACAGGGAGATAGAAGCTGGGTTTAACCTTTCATCCCCCAGAATAAAGCTCCTGTGACAATATACAGCCCTCCCCCAATATAGCGCTGGGGTGTGACGCTGGACAATGAACTCAAAGTCCTAACGTGGGGCTTGAACCTAAAATCTTCTGACCCAGAGGCTAGGATGCTAATAACGAACAAAGCCGCATCCACCAGAAGCCAATTCTGCAATAGCTGAGCACTTGGGAAGCCAGCGATGAATCGAGGTTGTCATGGAAATGGGACACAATCACCCAGTTCTCATCAATAGACTTTTTCTCAAGAGCATATTACAAGCACTCCCAACTGGGCGAGAATAAGTGTTAGCAGGGTCCTGAAATACCGAGATATTAACGGCATCAAGGCTCAAATAGACTTGTTCTCTCCACGAGAGCCCTTTTCACAATGTTTCCGTCAGCTATTGTTCTGTGTCCATTGATTAATTCCTTCAGTTGAGAAACTGAGCTCCCATTTTCTTTGGTCAGCCGGCTGTTTGACATTTGCAGAAACCCATCACCGTGCTTAAGAGTGTCCAAACCACATATACATAGAAATTCCAGAGATATGTATTTGGAATGGGCAGTCTCTCCCTGGAGAGTCACATCCTGTTTACCCAGTATTAGGAACAGGTTGCAAGGTCCAAGGTTTGGGGACCCCAAGTTTGTGTGTTGGGGGTGACTGCTCCAGTCTAACCAGCTAAAACTTTCAATCCACAACTGTTTGGGGACACTGTTTTTCGCAATTGGCTGCCGCGTTTTGCCCACAAAACAGTCACGATGCTATATTCTGTGAAGCGCTTGGAGACATCTCGATGACGTGATAAGGCATTATATCAAATGCAAGGATTATTATGATTATTATTATCATTATTATTATTAAAACCGCATAGCGTGCCTGGCATTGAGTGTATTGTCTGGCAAGTTTTCCCACTGCTTATCCAGCTAGGACCACCCTTTCGTTAGGGCTTTGGCTTGCAGGGTTATCAGAAGTTGAGTGGGATGATTCCCTGTCCCCAGTGACTGGTCTGCCCTTCCACATCCTGTCGATGAGCCAGATGGAGCTGTGCCGTCATCAGCAGTGCCTTGGAGTAACTGCAGACCTGCTTGGCTCAGGAACAGGACTACCGAAACTACCACAGAGGGCTGGCTCAATACTGACGTTCCATTGCCACATTGGATGCCAGTTCAGATCCAAGAAGACCTCTGTTTACTTCCTCCCCCTCACTGTGGAGGAGTGAGTTTCACCTTCACACTGC